TCCCCATCTCCCCACCTGCTGTTATTCCTCCCCAGCCTCTCACCTCCCAACAGACCCCAGTGTGTTATGTTCCCCTCTCCGTGACCATGTGTTCTCATTATTCAACACCCACTTATGAGTGAGAACATGTGGTGTTTGATTTTCTGTTCTTGTGTTAGTTTGCTGAGAATGATGATTTCCATATTCATCCACGTCCCTGCAAAATACACTAGTTCATCCTTTTTTATGGCTGCATAATATTCCATGGTATATATGTGCCACATTTTCTTTATCCAGTCTATCCTTGATGGGCTTTTAGGTTGGTTCCAAGTCTTTGCTATTGTAAACAGTGCCACAGTGGACATACATGTGCACGTGTCTTTATTATAGAACAATTTATAATCCTTTGGGTATATAAAACTCAACATCCTTCATGTTAAAAACTCTCAATAAACTAGGTAGTGATGAAACATATTTGAAAATAATAAGAGATACTTATGAGAAACCCATAGCCAATATTACACTAAATGGGCAAAAGCTGGAAGAATCCCTTTTGAAAACTGGCACTAAACAAGGATGCCCTTTCTCACTGTTCCTATTTGACATGGTATTAGAAGTTCTGGCCCGAGCAATCAGGCAAGAGAAAGACATAAAGCCTATTAAAATAGGAAGAGAGGAAGTCAAATTGTCTTTGTTGCAGATAACATGCTTCTATATTTAGAAAACATCATTGTCTCAGCCCCAAAACTCCTTAAGCTGATAAGCAACTTTAGCAAGTTCTCAGGATACAAAATCGATATGCAAAAATTACAAGCATTCCTCTACACCAACAGCAGACCAGCAGAGACCCAAGTTATGAATGAACTCCCATTCACAATTGCTAACAAGAGAATAAAATAGCTACGAATACAACTTACAAGGGACTTGAAGGACCTCTTCAAGGAAAACTACAAACCACTACTCCAGGAATAAGAGAAGACACAAGCAAATGGAAAAACATGCCATGCTCATTATAGAAAGTATCAATATGGCCATACTGCCCAAAGTAATTTATAGATTCAATGCTATTCCATCAAACTATTATTGACTTTCTTCACAAAATTAGAAAAAACTACTTTAAATTTCATATGGAACCTAAAAATAGCTTGTATAGCCAAGACAATCCTAAGCAAAAGGGACAAAGCTGGAGGCATCATGCTACCTGACTTCAAACTATACTACAAGGCCACATTCACCAAAGCAGCATGGTACTGGTACCAAAACAGATATATACACCAATGAAGCAAAACAGAAACCTCAGAAATAACATCACACATCTACAACCATCTGATCTTTGACAAACTTGACAAAAATAAGCAATAGGGAAAGGATTCCCTATTTAATAAATTGTGCTTGGAAAACTGGCTAGCCTTGTTCAGAAAAATGAAATTGGACCCCTTCCTTACATCTTACACAAAAATTAACTCAAGATGGATTAAGACTTATGTATAAAACCCAAAGCCATGAAAACAAGTATTTAATTATTGGTATTTCATGTAATAGAATATATAAAAGATCAAAAAATGTATTGCTTTTTACAAAATTGAGTGGCATATTCAGGCACTGGCATAAGTGTTTGTTTGTTCGAGCTAGTGAAATTCAATAATATAAGGACAAAAGAAATGAGAGCTGGACTAAATATTAGATCATAGATTGTACCGTGCTGCCCCCTATAGTACAGGTGAGGAAATGCCGAACAGTTAAGTGATGCCCAGAGTTATAGAAGCAAGACCAGAAAGCAGTTCACCTGAATCTTTACTTTGTAGTCCATCATTTTGAGTCTCTTTCACTGTATACTTCCAAATTTGAATGCCATCATTTTGTAATAATCCTGTGAATGATTTCAATTTTATAGCAGAGTTTATGGAGATTAGTTTCATCTCTTAGATTATGTTTTGTTGCTGTTGTTTTTTTTAAAATTTTTCTTGTTAACTTTTGTTATATATAATTCATTTATGAATTGCTAACTTAGCTTTACTTAACGGGGAAAACGGAACAAATAAACTCAATTCTCAAGATTTTGTCTTTTTATTAAAAATACTTTGGTTTATACAATGTGAAGATGAAAAATAAGCAAACAACTCAGACAAATCTAGTTATTTATCTTTATAGATTCAGTACTTTCACAAGGGAGGGCAAGGTATATAAAGTTTAGTAACTTTATTAAAGGAATTTTGAGACATATAACTGAATTTTATACAAAACTCTATTCTCATATAGGTAAATATCCTCAAAGCCTGAGTAAAAGCATTAAAAATTTGCAATTAAAAGAAATATCAATATAATTAAAATGAGGAAAAAGCACTTGTGACATTGCTGGTATAATTCAATATTAACATATATTTGTAACCTACATTTTTGATGTATTATTGGTTTGTCTCTGAGTTAAAGGAAGCCTTTGAAATTTATAACAAAAGCTTTCTCTCCAGGTAAAAGTTACTACTTATCCCAAGTAAGAACACATTTATTAAGCATATATTCCAAAGTAAACTTCCTAAAAGTGAAAAGAAGGAGAAAATATAAAACGTTGTTCTATCAACTTTGGGTCTAATCTACTTTGGGTCTGACAATCTACTTTGAGCATAAAACCAGTGTCACTGCAAATAAACATGTGTCTTCATTTGACAATGGATATTTTCATTTTACTCTTTGTTCACTTTGAAAAAAGACAAAATATTTATTTTATATGTTTTATATAGAACAATATGCAGATTTATAGTATTTTAATTTTGGTATTAATCATTTACTGCTTATGATCATTCATTGGTTTTGTGGAAAATTATCAGATGCTCTATTTCTTTAAAACATACCAATTCTTATTTGGCGATTGAAATTTTCCATTCATATCTTGTTTGGTTTTATATCTCAGGTGTGTGCATCTTTTATGCATCCCAAACCAAAATGAGCTATTAAACACGCTTTCATTATCAGGCTGATTTACATGAACAAACTGTGATATCCTTAACACAGTCTGAGTTATTTGTGATTTTATGGCCGCAAAAGGACTCACTGAGAATTCAGCTTATCCCCTGTTTCAAGTTCAGATGAGAAATAAGAATGAACCAATATTTGGATAAAACAAAAGTAGCAAATGTTGGATTAAATCCTACTCTATAAAATGAAAGACTTATTGAGCCAGTTTTCTGTCTTAAAAAGGCAGCTCACTAAGGCATAGTCAGGGTAGTGCACAGATTGTGGTTGCTATGGTAGTTACTGTCAATTTACTTACAATTCCTTCAATAAACAGTTTTTAATTCCCAAGTTTGTTGCTTAGAAGAACTGAAACATCCCTTTTAGGAAATTTGTCTTTGATAAAATACTTATAAATCTCATAAAATCTCAACACCAGGTTCAAAGCCATGTAAATTAAATAAATTTTTAGTAGCCCAAGCCAAAAGACAGGCGCTGTGTGGAGATGAATCAACAGTAGGCTCAATGTTGTGTGTGTTTCACTAACTCAACGAGGTCAGCAGAGGAGCTCTATGAAGCCCAGGTCAAATTTCCTTACATGTGTTTCTCCATTCTGTGTCCTTTCACCATGGTGCCTTTATTTCAAAAACTTTGAAGACAATTTAAATTTTAGGATACCCTTTTAATATTTCATAAAGTCATAGGAGTTGGAATAAATTTTTAAAAATCCACCCCCTCAAGTATTTATCCTTTGAGTTACAAACAGTACAATTATACTCAAAACATTTTAAAATGTACAATTACGTTGTCATTGACTATAGTCACCTTATTGTGCTATCTAATGGTGTAGGTCTTATTCATTATTTCTAAGCATTTTTGCTGGGGTGGGGAGTTGGGGGTGGTTAGTAAGCACGAAAAACAGAAAGGTTTAAAAGTGATGCTATAATGAACTATTAACAGACCAGTAGACAGTGGTTAGAAATGACCTCACAATAAATGAGTACAGAATAGACATAGAAGAACATCAGGAAAGAGGTTGTAGCGAATACGAAGAGGAGGTAGTAAAAACAAGCACTGATTGTAATAAGTGAATGGAAGACAGAGAGGGTGGGGGAAAGGTAAGCTGTAAACTGCTACCTGGCTGTTCCTATAGACACTGAGAAAATGGGAAGAAGAATGAAAGGTGAAATGAGAATGAAAATAGAGGCCATATATACACTACTGAAAAAGGATAAAGAAAGAAAGTAATTGGCTGGAGCATGCAAGAACAGGGGCAGATGCAATCTGCAGTTTTAGCCAGACTTTGAATAAAACCAATTATAAAGCAGAGTTTTGGGATTTGAATGGAAAACTGAACTGCTACTCTGATAGCCTGCATAGGAGCTGGATTTTGTGCCCTCAATTTCTAAAATTAATTCTTTCATATATTGCAACCAAAAGGTTCTGAAGCTGGTGTGCAAAGCCAAAAATAGTATAAAAGTAATTGTGAACAAAATAAAATCAACATATGCTCTCTTTTTTTGAGTCCTTGGCTACTGTACACAGCAGGGCATTAAAGTCATTTTGATTTCAAATGTTTTCATGTATTGTGAATATAGGCACTTTCTGAAGACCTCACCTTGATAAATAAGTTTCTTTTTAAAATTACAGATTTAACATCTGTACATTGAAAAAAATAGCTGTAAACTTAGTTGAATACAAAGTTATCAGTTTGGATGATGACAAAGGAAACGATTAATTATAAAAGGAATACCATGAAGAGTAGATGATGTAATATACTTGGTTATAGGCAATTCAGTTTAGCATTTGGAATGTGTGTATTTTGAACAGTCAGCCATTTCTTCTCATAAAAGCAAAGCATGTAAGTTCAAGCATGTCCTGAATAAGACATTAAGTAAGCTGAAATATTTTAATGAGAATGAGGGCCTCTCTTTGCATCAGGAGACAACAGATACATGAGTTGTAACATCAAACGTAATACAAATAACAGCAGCAAAGTAGGGTATTCAGGTGACTCATCACATGCTCTGACCAGGGTATATAAGCCTCCCTCTACACTGGCTGGCATTCACACTCAGGATATTACCTTGGACAGCAAACCAGCTCACCGCTCCTGACACTATGAGCTACTACGGCAACTACTATGGAGGCCTGGGCTATGGCTCTGGAGGCTTCGGTGGCCTGGGCTATGGCTGTGGAAGCTTCGGCGGCCTGGGCTATGGCTGTGGAAGCTTCGGTGGCCTGGGCTATGGCTGTGGAAGCTTCGGTGGCCTGGGCTATGGCTGTGGCTATGGGGGCTATGGATATGGCTCTGGCTTCAGAGGCTATGGATACCGCTGCTGCCGCCCATCGTGCTATGCAGGATATGGATTCTCTGGATTCTATTGAAATCCTCCCCTGACAACCAAACACGAGAAGCCATAAGAAGGTCACCCAACTGCAATATTGACTGCAATAACAAGCAAGGTCACCTTGGATCAAGCCAAGATACAGAGCAGATACTATCTAAGAGTTTTAAGAACATCTATCATTCCATAATTCGTTGCTTCATGTCTCTGGATGTGTCTTACTTGTATGTTTATATGTGTGCCGTTTCTCTATTTCTTTTGCAATAAATTATGCTAACTTAAAGCAAACACATGGATTTTATTTTATGTTTGACTCAAAATTGCAAAGTGGTTATTTGTAATTATACACAATTAAAAAAAGAAGAAACTACTATACATAAATAGTATATTATATATCATGAGTTTTGTATATACATGCACCTATCTATATGGATGTATGTATGTGTGTGCATGTATAGATCTACATTCAAAGGGCAGAGTTGACCTCAAATAATCTATGAGTTAGGAGTTAGGGGTACTGATTCCCCCATGAAGTTGAAAATCCACATACAACTTTTGATGCTCCAGAAACCTAACTACTAGTAGCTGACTGTTGACTGGAAGCCTCACTAATAACAAACAGTTGACTAACACATACTTTGTGCTTTACATGCATTATATATTGTATTCTTACAATAAAGTAAACAAGAGAAAAGAAAATGTTATTAAAATGACACAGAAGAGCATTTATTTTTGCTGTTTGTGAAGTGGAAGCAGCTCATCATAAATGTTTTTGTCTTCATTGTCCTCACATTGAATAGGCTGAGGAGGAGGAGGAAGGGGAGTGTTGGTCTTGCTGTCTCAGGAGTGGCAGAGGTAGAAAAATCTGAGTATGAGTGCATTTGCTCAGTCCAAATCCATGTTGTCCAAAGGTAAACTGTACATGCACAAATGAAAACCATAACACTCGATGGAAAAGTAGCTTTTTTCTTTGGAACACTGAAGCATATTGACCGTATCTTTTTCATTTCAGTGCTTTCAGTTAGATAATGTTTGTGTTTAAATTCAGCCCTGAAATATTAACTTTATAAACTTTAATATCTAAATGGAGACTAACATGAAGAGAATGTACTTCTATCATTTGTTCAAAATGTATGTTTATTTGGCCCCTTTAATGGTAAGAAAAGCAGTGATAAGACAAAGTATATATCTGAATATACACTGAAAACAAACTTTTTGTGACTTTCTATCATCTATTCCTGGTCCATCGTGGTGTGGGGTGAAATTGTTCTTTCACATTACCAGCACCTTTAAATAATTTTGCAATACACCAAGGAAACACAGAAATCACTGCCATCACTTGTGAAGTAATTAATATTAAGGCTGGGACTGACCTGATGCTTTAAATACTCTAGCCAAGTCTTTTAACTTCCAACAAGCAAACATAGAGCTTTTTGTATTGCTATTTCAAATAGTATGTGCCTACGAAAAATATGTAATAAAATATTTATATTTTTCAAGGATAATATATTTCAGTACTGAAACAGTCAAGCAAATTCAAAAATACCAGGAAAATAATATAAAAGAACTGTGGAGAGTGTAGGGGTACTACTATAAAGTTTTCCCAGTACTTACTCTATTACCATTTTGAATGAGAGAAAAAAAAAAACCTCCAAAAAGTGAAATCATTTGCTAGGGATCAAAAATGGAATGAGAGGGAGAGCCCAGGCCAGAACCCAGTTTTTCTGAATATCAGGCATTCTACTTCCCCATGCTCACCATCCCATTCATTTTGTACTTCTCTTCTTGTGTGTTGTCACATAAAGTATCTTGAAGGCTCCGGTCATGTGTATCTGAGGAGTTTAATCATCACAGCCAAAGGACCACCTCTATTTGTTTTCATTTGTGAACACTCTGTTGTAGAATCTTGAACATAGCAATTTCAAATTTAGCTTAATCTGTGTAAAAACAACTAGTCAATAATGAAAATCCAATATTATAATATTTTTAAAAAATCATAAGCATTTGAAAAACTCTGACTTGTTTACTGAACATATGGATGGATTTGCTTAGCCAGATACTATGACCAACTGTTTTATTCAATTCCAGTGAGATGTTGCAGTTCACAATAAATAGATCTCATTAAAAATATCTTAGTGTCTCCATTGTGGAACTCTACTGGTTACTTTTACTGAGTATGACAGAATTTCACATGAAAACTTTTTACTCCCTAAGTGATAAATAGCATCATAGTCTGAAGAAAGACTGTCTGTGTCAGAAGAAGAACAATTAATATAACCATTTAGAGAAAGTAACGCTTTTAGTATAATGCAATTTTATCATACTATTACATCTCTAGTTTTTAGATTGTATTGATTTGTGCTAAAATTAAAAGAATACCTTCAGAATACATTTCCTTCCAAGGAAAAGCTATAACATGGTCTAGAGAAAATGCATCACAGGATCATCAGCCCCAAAACTGAGAAAAAATCTAACAAAGCAAAATAGGCAGCATGACATCATTCAATCCGTTTATTTGTGATTTTATAGCTTTCTTTTGAAACAATGAGAATTAAATGTTCAAATTAGCTACGGTCTCTTGATTTAGGATGGCCTGTAAAAATGAAACAGGTTCTGAAAAAACATGAGAAAGAAATTGAGAATAAGATGTGAGGTAATCAAAAGTTTCTCAATTAGGACAAAAAAGCATAAAACATAAAATATGAATATTAATAAATTGTGTCATATTAAGATATTCTATTTACATATAAACACAGTTTTAAAGTGGAAAAAACAAGCCACATGCCTGGAGAAAATATTTTCAAAACAAAGCTTTTCAAAGGACCTGTATCCAAATATGCACAAAGCTCCCACAAATCGAGGCTAGAATATAACAAACCCACTTAACAATGGATGAAATACATGAGCAGGCACTTTAAAAAGAATATCTAAATGGTGGTCACATATAAAATGGTGGTCAGTATCATTAGTCATCAGGAAAAAACTAAATTAATACTTAGATATTACTACATGTCCAGAAGAATTGTCAAAATCTAAAAATGACAAGCATTGTCAAGGATGTGGAACAGATAGAATTGTCTTGTATTGCTCAGGATAGTGCACATTTCTTACCTTGCTGATTAGACTGTAAATTTAGAAAACCAGGTTTTGGAAAATTATTGACAAGACATTTTGGAGCTGGTATTAAAAACTAGAAAGATGGTTATCTCTAGGGAATAATATTTACCATAATGAAACAATGGAACATGTTGGGGATTAGGGTGTGCTTGGTGTAAATAGTGTATGCACATATGCAAAAATTTATCAAACATTATACTTACATTTATATTATGATATAATTATTTTTGTGTACGATATGCTTCAAAATAAAGAGCTAAAACAAGTGAAATAAAATGAGGGTGATATGTTCCTCTAAAGTCAGATGCCATTGGAACCTATTTCTTCTCCTCCTTCTTCTTCCTCTTCTTCTTCCTCTTCTTTTTTAGTAGAAAGCAGGGCTCACTATGTTGCCCAGGCTGGTCTCAAACTCCTGGACTCAAGTAAGCCTCCTCCCTCAACCTCCCAAAGTACTGTGATTAGAGGCATGAGCCGCCTCGCCAAACTCTCATTTCATCTTTAAATCCCTATTGTTCAGATGCAGTCAGGGAATTACTCATGCCTTTGAGAGGCATAGACTTTAGAATTTATTCATCCATTCACCACTTAGGTATTGTGTTGTTACTACATGGTAATTATTGCAAAGAGGTATACAAATTTAGTTGTGAAAACGCATCCTTTGAAAATTATTTATAAGACTAAAAATAACTGATCACTGTATTTGAGATCATATAAAGTTAATAAAAACTTAAAGGCTCAGGGTTAAAGTTAAGGGCACAACTGAAGTTACCATGTTTGGTGTCAGCTGTGGCTGTATGTAACTAAATTCTCTAGAGTCAGCTGAGGACTTTGTACCCTCAGTTATTTTTTCTGCCTGTTATCTTGTAATATTATGCCTACATTTTGAAGATTCTTCCAATGTTAACGGTATCTTACTGAACTTCAAATAGCCTTTCGATTTAAATTATCTTTTTACATCATATGCTTTAGTAAACATTTAACAGCTTAGTAGTCTAGCGTATTTTCTGAGAAGAAAAAGGTGTGTGTGTGTGCACGTGTGTGTGTGTTTAAAGCACAGAACAAGCAAAGGAAATACAAATGAAAGCTGATAGGGTAAAAGTAAAGAAGAAGGAAGCAAAAAAAAATACCAAATAAATAAAAATGGATGGGGACCAAAAAGAAATTTTACATATTTTGTAATTTCACTTAGTAATTATAACCTAATGGATGATGGGAGGACAGAGGCTAGGTGATATTGTAACTGATTTTAACATACCTATTCAAATGGCCAAAGTTCAAAAGACTGACAGCAACAAATGCTGGCGAGAATGTCGGCGAGAATATGCAGCAGCGGGACTCACATTCATTGCTTATGCGAGTGCAAAATGAAAGAGTAACTTTGGAAGACAATCTGGCAGTTTCTTATAAAGCTAAACATGCTCTTACCATACAATCCAGTAATTGTACTTTTTGGTATTTACCTGAATGAGATAAAACACGTCTACACAAAAACCTGAATACAAATGTACATAGAAGTTTTATTCATAATTGCCCAAAGTTGGTAGCAACCAACACGCTCTTCAAAAAGTGAATGGTTAATCTTTCTATAGTATATTCATACAATGGAATATTATCCAGTGGTAAAAACCAATGAGCTATCAAGAAAGGAATGGATAATCCTAAAAGCCTATCTCTAAGCAAATGAAGTCAATGTGAAAAGGCCACAATACTGGGCAATTCCAACTACAACATTCTGAAAAAAAAAATCAGTAATTTTTAAAAGTTTGGGAAAAGTGAGGAAAGAGCAGGTGGAGAACAGGCAATTTTCAGGGCAGTAAAACTATTTTGTGTAATAGTGGCTCCATGACTTTATGAATTCGTCAAAACCCATAGAACTGTATGGCATAAAGAATAAACCTTAATTAAACTATGAACTTTAATAATATACCACACATAATACAGTAATAATATATCAATATTGGTTCATCAATCACAGTAGATATACAATACCAATGCCATATATGTATATATATATATATATTTTGAGATATAATATATATAATATTATATATATATACATGTATATATATATATATATATATATTTTTTTTTTTTTTTTTTTGAGATAGAGTCTCTCTCTGTCACCCAGGCTAGAGTGCAGTGGTGCAATCTCGGCTAACTGCAACCTCCACCTCCCAGGTTCAAGCAATTGTCTGCCTCAGCCTCCCGAGTAGCTAGAATTACAGGCATCCACCACCACGCCTGGCTAATTTTTTTGTATTTTGTATTTTTAGTAGAGACAGGGTTTCAGCATCTTGGCCAGGTTGGTCTTGAACTCCTTAGCTGGTGATCCACCCACCTCAGCCTCCCAAAGTGCTCAGATTACAGGTATGAGCCACTGCACTCAGCTGCAATATATTAACAATACAGAAAAACATTTATATGTGTGACTGAGTATAGGCATATTCTGTATTTCATCCTTAATTTTTCTGTAAATGTAAAGCAGTTCTAAAAATAAAATCTATGGATTTTAAAGAAAGATTGCATAAGATATCAGATATATGTGTGAGGAAATGGTAGAAAATGCTGAATATAAACACAAGGAGGAAGATGAAATGCAATATACATGTTTGGGAGCACCTTGGGTAGGTGTCTTTTCAGAAAAATGGGTGAGGATTTGAAAAAATATATATTCTGGTCAGTTTTTAAAGCTGCTTTTGAGATAAATTTTCAATTACTGTTTTTTTTTTATCTGTTTCTGAACAATATTGTCCCATCATTGTCAAAGACCATAGAACCATAGAATACAAAGAGTGAATTCGAACCTAAATTATGGATTCCAGTTTATAATTATATATTAATATTGGTTCATAAATTGTAAGACACAGAATTTTTTTACTAGTCAAGATAGCATGCAAAGAAAAATAGTAGTTATAATGTTCTAAAATTAAAGAAAATATACACTCTTTTTTTTTCTAGAGTTCTTTATTGGTGTTCAGAATGGTTGAGTTGATGTCTTTTGGCTTTCGAATGCCTCTGTTTTCTTATCTCCACAGGAGTTAGATAATTCACCTTTAGGGTGGGGAACTGAGGAATAAGATAAAAGGTATGATAGATTGTAGAGCTTTGCATTTTACCCATTTCTTTAATTTAATTTGTCAGTGAAGCACAGCAATTCAAAGAAAACCAGAGATGAAGGAATATTTAACTGAAAAACACAACATCATAAAATATGATTGATGTATATGCCTAGCTACGAAAAAATTTATTTAGGGTCTGGTATGCCAAGACTTTAGATACAGCAATTCTTCTCATTAAGTGATGCAATAACTTTTAAGGGCCACCCTAACTCAGCAACAAAGCAAGCTCAAACAATTTAATGAATGTGAGGGCCTCTCCTAGTGTCAGAGGAAAATGAATGATTTGTGTTAAGTAACTAATTAAAAAAACACAGACACACAAAATCAGATATGCATGTGACTCATCATGTGCTCTGACTAAGGTATACGAGCCTCCCTCTACACCTGCTGCCATTCATACTCAGGACTTTGCCTCCAGCAGCAAACCAACTCACCACTCCTGACACCATGAGTTACTATGGCAATTACTACAGAGGCCTAGGCTATGGCTGTGGAGGCTTTGGTGGCCTAATCTATGGCTACGGCTGTGGATATGGCAGCTTCCGCAAACTGGGCTATGGCTGTGGCTACGGATATGGCTCTGGCTTTGGAGTCTACGGATATGGCTGCTGCCGCCCATCATGCTATGGAGGATATAGATTCTCTAAATTCTACTGAAATTCTACCCTGAGGAACCAACATCAGAGGTCATAAGAACATCCAAATTAACCAAATATTGAATCAAATAAGGTCACACTGGATCAGTCCAAGATAAAAAACATTTAGCATCTAAGATGTTAGGAATATTTACTATCTTATAATTGTCTATACTATGTCTGCTGACATCCACTATCTGTACTCTCCTAACTGTGGAATTGCTCGTGCTAGCTGAAAAAACAAAATCAAATCAAAACTGAAACTACTAAATTCTTCAAATATAGGTCTACCAGAGTAGAATCATAAATCAGTTGTGCTCTATTCATGTAGTAGACTACTTTTCACAAATTAAAACAACAAAATTCACATTACCTATGATAGAGATCTACCAAATGGACAGTGATACACAGAATAATTGGGGATGGATATGGAAAATGTCAGTATACTATATGAAACTACCAAAGTGAAGTACAGAACAAGAAAACCTTATCTAGAAAGCTAATAGTTACTCTACAAGCAATAATATTGACTGGTAGAGTCAAGAGACAGATATGGGGAATTACACTATGCTTGATATAGGTGGTCCGTAAGTATAAGCAAAATATCACCAGCTTGTATACTTAAGATTTAAGTATTTTTAAATATACCTTAAACAATAGCAAGGAAAAAGCAAATAAAATGATAGGTGATTTGTTCCTCTAAAAAAAGAAAGCTATTTGAGCTAATTTCTCTTCTAAATTCTTATTTTTGGATACATGTATAGTATTGTGTATTCCAATGAGATGTAACATTTTTATGTGTAAGAACTTTAGAATTCATTTGTCTATTCAACATTAATATATTGAGTTTCTATTGCATGCTGGTCATTGAACTGCAGTCAACAAATCCAGTTGGAGAAATGTATAATTTGAAAGTATAATTTGAAAATTACTCATAAACTAATCAAAAACTGAACAGTATATTCAAAATAATAAAAATTCAATAAGAAATTATATATTTAAGCTTAAAGTTAAGGGCGTTTGTGGGTGGGGTTTGGAATCAGCCTCAGGTCTAGGTGACTAACTTCTTAGAGTCAGCTGAGGTACTCTTTGTCTTTAATTGTTATTCTCTTCATCCTGTGTTTTTACAGTATACATATTTTGGGGGATTTATAATACATTCACAGTGCTAACCATCTCTTACTGAATTTCCCAGGTTCCTTGGTGATGGCATATATTTGTAACATCTAGTGCTTTAATAAGTACTTAACATCTTAGTAAAGATTAGTTAGCTATTTTCTTTTAGGAAAAAAGAGGAACGCACAATAGGTAAAAGGAATATAAAGGCAAAAATATGAAAAAATGAAGATAATATAATATATACGAATTTAAGTATAGAGAATTTATATATTTCACCATCTCACTTAGTCCCAGACCCTAATGGGAATTAAAAGACTGTATTGATAAGAGGACAATTGTGTGGATCAGGGAAAGGGAATGAATGGTGTTTATAAGAGAGGGGGCAATATAACCTGTATTTTTGGTAGCACCTTGGATGTCTAATATGCCAGTAAGGGAGTCAGGGTATGAAAAAGAAAATTTGAACGGTTTGTAAAGCTGCTTATAAAATAGATCTTTTCATTACTGTGATTTGACTTCAGTGCTTGAGCAATATTCTATTATGTTGTTAAATCAAAGAGGTTTTTATTTTTTAAACTAGTAAAACCAAATAAAAGAGAATATTCATTATGATGGCCAATGTTCTAGAATAATAGGAGAACGATGGCTTTAACTTTTTTACCCTGTGAAGTTCTTTACTGTTATGCATAGCAGGGGAGCAGACAGCTCCAGTCTTTCAAATGTTTTCCTCCCTTTAAAAAGGGACCTCACCTGAGGTACAAGATACCCCGAAAGAATGTGATAAATTTCAGGGCCTTGAATTTAACCAGGGTCTTTTATTTAATCATAAATGAAGCAAAACAATTCCAGGAAAGCCATCCAATTTGAAATTAAGGATGAAGCAATACTTAATTTCAAAACATAGCCTTACCAGCTGTGTAATACAATATGCCTACGAAGAAGTCTATTTGAGGTCTGGTATGTACAGACTTTGAAGCTACAGCAATTTCTTCTCATAAAAGTGATGCAATACGTTAAAGGGACAGCATGGCAAGACAGCAATGGAAGCTCAAACACTTTAATTAGTTTGAGGGCTTCTTCAGATGTCAGGATTGGGTCAGCAAAGTGTAACATATAGAATTACACTAAAATAGGCAGCAAGTGTTTGTCACGTGATCTGTCAGGGTATATAAGCATGCCCGCCTGAGATGTCAACATTCACACTCAGAACCTTGCCTTGAGCAGCAAACCAAACTCAATACCTGCGACACTATGAGCTACTATGGCAACTACTACGGAGGTCTCGGCTATGGCTGTGGAGGCTTCGGTGGCCTGGGCTATGGCTATGGCTCTGGATGTGGCAGCTTCCGCAGACTGGGCTATGGCTATGGCTGTGGCTATGGAGGCTACGGATATGGCTCTGGCTTTGGAGGCTATGGATACGGTTCCTGCTACCCATCATACTATGGAGGGTATGGATTCTCTGGATTCTATTAAACTACTGCCCCAGCAACACAGTGTTTCAAATTACAAGAGGACATCCCAAAGGTGACTTCAACCATTGGACAACAAAGGTCATGCTGGAGCTATTTGCACAAAATAATTTAACATCTCAGAACTTCAGGCAATTTTGCCATTTACACCCATATCTCTATCATAATCCTAGTATCCTCTACTTTTGCTTTTATAACTGGTTGAAGTATCTATTTGTCTTCCAATAAAACATTCTAATTTGAAAATACAATATGGTTCTGTTTTGTTCATGAAACTCAGTTATATGTAAGTGATGACAGTTACATTCTACTCAATTGTCAGCGAGAGAAGCTATCTCCTTGGCTGAGAATCTATGTTTTTTCACATACTGCATAAACATGCGTGCAGATAGATAAACAAATAGTTCCAAAGAATAATAATAATAGATTAAAATAAAAACAAAAACTTCAAAATGGTTAAAAATCTGATGTTTTTCAACATTTTGCTTTTATTTAGATAATATTCAGATTTAAGGCAACAACAAAAATTAATACCAATTTGACATGTCTATATATTTATATATCAAGCATATATATTTTATTTAATTCAGGAAGTTTCTGTCAAGTAACTATGAATGTGTAATGAATCCTTCTATTCATTGAAAATTTGTTTCTTTTTATTGTAAAAGCAAGCAAATAGTGACAGATCAAACCATATTACTAGGTTAATTATGAAAGTTTATTATCTTTCCAAGAATTACTGTATTTGGTATAACCTCACCCTATCATACTCTTCCACACATTAATTTATTTGAGATTTCCATTGAACAACTGATGTATGTAACTATTAAATTAGTATAGAATTTCTTTCACATTGGATTAATCTATTTAACTCAAAACATTTTAGCTAATTTTTTTCAACTAGATTTTCTATGATCTTCCTTGATCTTCATGGCCTGATATGGCTATCTTCTTCCCCATTATCATTATATCAAAAAACTTGCAACTTAACAAAGGAAAGAAACAAGACTTTATTGTCAACTAATTTATTTTTTAGCTCAAGCTGATGACAAGAACACTTTGATCCAAAGAGCTTTCTTACAAAGCTGAATTTCAGTTAAATCACTCCCCTGATAAAAATAGGAAGAAAGGGGGCATTTTGTTGATGAAATTTTAAACAGACATAAATGAATATCAACTTTTTTTCTAAAGTAAAATGATATATTCAACAAACAATACAAAATCAAGTCATTTTGTTTAAATTGGTCAAAACTTGTTAAATGTGTTTGATTGAGTCACACAGTAGCACCAAATGTTGCTGACCTAGAACAGACATTAAGTGGTAGCAGTTACATTCATTTAATCTTTTAGGTTAAATAACCAGGACAACAGCAAAAACATTCAGAAAGCTTACACCAGTTCTAGTGGCAGAGTCAGGATCAGGCTTATTGCCAAGGTCTTCTGAATGCAGGTGCCACCATGAAGTCTTTATTCCCAGTATATTTTCTTCCTTCATGAAACCAAAGAGGCTATCTTGAAAGTTCTGCTCAGTTTACATAACATGACTGAATTTATGGGGGACATAAAGATGGTTTCTTAGACTCACGATTTCTGTAATATTTTACTGTTCTGATTTAGAGAATTGAACCTCTTAATTTTGATGTTATCTTCATCTAGATTTCAACTGTAACATCTATATGCATATCTATATGTATGTATTCTCAAACTCCTGGTGATAAAATTAGGCTGCGTCCCCATTTAAATCTCAACTTCAATTGTATCTCCCATGATTCCCTCATGTTGTGGGAGGGATACAGGGGAGATAATTGAATCATGGGGGCTGGTCTTTTCCATGTTATTCTGATGACAATGAATAAGTCTCATGAGATCTGATAGGTTTATCAGGGGTTTCTGCTTTTGCTTCTTGCTCATTTTCTCTTGCTGCCACCATGTAGGAAGTGCCTTTCACCTCCTGCCATGATTCTGAGGCCACCCCAGCCATGTGGAATTTGTAAGTCCAATTAAATCTCTTCTTCTTCCCAGTCTCAGGTATATCTTTATCATCAGTGTAAAACAAACTATTACACCTGAGCTCAAGCAATCCTCCCACCTTGGCCTCCAGAATTACAGGAGTGAGCCATTGTGCCCCACCTGGAGAGAAAATTTTTGAATAGCTGTTCAGGCTGGTGTAAAAGTGAGTTTGTTTATTATATCGATAAACCAGAATGATGTTTTGCAAGCTGATGTAGAAATTAAAGTAGTTTTATATTATGCCTACTATGTATTTTTCATTACTTTGTATTTACCACAGCTAACCAGAAAATTTATTTCTTCAAAAAGTTTGTTTCCTTTTGAAGGAGGGAGAGCCTTAATTTCTCAACTCAATAAATATATTTGATATTTGAAGGCTTTACTAGATTTAAAAGTTTTAAACTTGATCAATGTATTTAAATCTAAGTGGTGGTAAAATAGAGTAATCTAAGGAATGATATAAAAATGAGAAATGAGAAAATATCTAATGAAAACACATTGTCAAATACAAATAATTCAATATGCTTAGTGATGAAGAATTCTATTTAGGATTTTTTAATTGTGTAACTTTGAAGATGCAGATTATTTTGTCATTTTAAAAAAATGTATTGGTTGGGCATGGTGGCTCATGCCTGTAATCTCAGCACTTTGAGAGGCCAAGGCAGATGGATCACCTGAGTTCAGGAGTTCTAGACCAGCCTGGACAACATGGTAAAACCCTATCTCTACTAAAAATACAAAAATTAGCTAGGCATGGTGGCAGGTGCCTGTAATCCCAGCTACCTGGGAGGCTGAGGGAGGAGAATCACTTGAACCCATGAGACAAAGGTTGCAGTGAGCCAAAATCACACCAGTGCACTCCAGCCTGGATAACAAGATAAAGATTCCATATAAAAAAGAAAAAAGAAAAGTTCAAGGGTATTCTAACCATGCAACTAAGCCAGCTCAAAGATTTTAATGAGTTTGTGTCTCTCCTTGTGTTAACAGATTGATGATTTGCATTGAGTAAATTAAAAAAATTGGAATGCCGTGAAAGGATAGCCATGTTTATCACGTCTTCTGCTCAGGGTATAAGCATTCCCTAAACATGCTGATATTCATACTCAGGTCCTTGCCTTGGACATCAAACCGAACTCACTATTCCTGACACCATGAGCTACTATGACAGTTACTATAGAGGTCTGGACTATGGCTATGAAGGCTTTTGTGGCATGGGCTATGGTTACAGCTGTGGATTTGGCAGTTTTCACAGACTGGGCTATGGAGGCTGTAAATATGGCTGTGTCTACAGAGGCTATGGAGATGGCTGCTGTTGCCCATCATGGTAGAGGATCTGGATTCACTGGCTTCTACCAAGCTGCTGCTTTAGTAACACAGTATCTGTTACCTTAAGGGGATTTAAAAACAAGTTACTTACTTCTAAGATACAAATGGGGGTACGGCTATAAATGTGTAAATGCTCCCATTCCAAAGGGAGAAGTTGGCCAAAACATATAGGCCCCAAACAAGTCCAAAACTCAGTAGGCCAGTCATGGAAATAGTAAAGCTTCAAAATAATCTCCTTTTACTCCGTGTCTCACATCCAGGCCACACTGATGCAAGGGGTAGACTCCCAGGGCATTGGGCAGCTCTTCTTCAGTGGCCCTGCAGGGTATAGTTCTCCTGGCTGCTTTCACTGCTAACATTGAGTGTCTGCAGCTTTTCCAGGCACACAGTGGACTATATAAAAACATACATATGTATATGTATATATGGATATGGATACATATATACATGTATATATACAATGTATTTTTATATATACATATACATATATGTACATTATAATGCATATATATGTATGTGCATATACACATACACATGCATATAATGCATATGCATATTCATATATGTATATATTCATATATTATATATATGAATGAAGTGTGTGTGTATATATATATATATATATATATATATATGAATGAAGATAAATTTCAAATTTCAGTGAAACCTCATCCTTTCAAGAAATGGTCAAAACTCCTTTATCAGGAGCAGTGGTTCTTGCCCAAAGCCTGTTATACAGCGGGTATCTTTATGATATTAAACGCTGCCACCTGGACCATGGGTTCTTGTACTGATATAACTGTTTTTCCCTTAAATCATGCTCTGCACTGTGTCTGCTCCAGACATTCCTCTGACTATAAGCTGCTCGTTCCTTAATTCACGCTCTGTACCATGTCTACTCTAGGCATTCCTCTGATTACGAACTAAGATATATATATATATATATATATGTAAATAACTGAGTGGTAAGATATTCTTTAGACACTCATTCTATGAACTAATATATGATTATACATAGAGAATTATATAAAGAGAAATAACTGAGTAGTAACACTATAACTGAGATATTCTTCAAGCCCTAATTCTATAAACGAATATATGATTCTATATAAAAGATTATATAAAAGGAAATAACTGAGTAGTAACACTATAAACTGACATATTCTTCAGGCCCTAATTCTACAAACTAATATGTGATTATATATAAAGGATTATATAAAAGGAGATAACTGAGTAGTAACACTATAAACTGAGACATTCTTCAGACACTAATTGTGCCAGGATTCTGCTTAGCTCTCCTTCCTCGGTACCTATATGGGGGGTTACCCATATTTTATCACTTGACTGATTTTCTGAAATGGAGAATAAAAATGAGATGAGATTGGGTTATAGTAACACAGGCATCAAAGAGGAAGCCTAGTGTTTGATTAAACACTACTCTGACAGCCGAAATCTTGTTGGAACTCATGTTCAGCCTTACAACATTTCCCAGAATAGCCGGTAAGTTGCTCATGTTATGCTATCCATGGCCCTTGCTTTGATGTCAAAGTCATGTAATTTATTCAAATAATATTTTTGAATGCCAACTAAATACAAGGCTTTATTTTGACACTCAGCAGATCAGAGAAATACCACATTGTAAAACAAACAAACAAAAAACACAGTGTCACTTGAACTGGAAGTCATTATGTTTAGTGAAACAGACAGATATCACATGTTCTCACTCATAAATGGGAGCTAAAACGTTGATCTTATGAATGTAGAGGACAGAATGATAGATATTGGAGGCTGGGAAGAGTGTGTGGGTGGAGGGGTGATAGAAGTTGGATGAAAGGTATAAGTTCTATTGTAGAGTGATTACAGTTAACAACAATATATTGTGTATTTCAAAGCAGCTAGAGGAGAGAACATGATTTATTCCCGACAGAAAGAAATGATAAATATTCAAAGTGATGGATATCTCAAATATTCTACCTTAAACAATTTACATTCTATACATGCAATTAAATATCACATGTATCTCATAAGTATGTAAAATATATATCAATAAAAATTTTAAATGAAGTAAAACTTTAAAAAATGTGTCATTCAACTACTCATAAATCTAAATAAAAAGCTTAGCAGTTTGATTATAGTCATATAAAACTGATACGTTTTTGGAGTTCCAAGTTTCAAGATATAGGTAAATCTGGATGAGGTTTAATCAGGTATGAGGGAAGGCTTGGGTATTTCTAACTCTCTGTGCTAAGTTGAGGGACTCTCTGGTCAGCTCTCCTTAAAGAGATACTCCTTCTTTTCTATATTTTTCATAATTGTGCCTCACATTTAGAGAATTTCTTGTTATTCTAAGTTGCACAAATATTTTTAAAATTTCTGATAATTTGAAGAGTTGAAATATGTCTAAAATAAGAAACACTGTAATCAGTATCTTAGAAAGATCTAGTTGATATCTTAGAAAAGGCAAATAGAAAGCACTGGAAAACAAAACACAACAAAAAACATAAGCACTGAATAGACAAAGACAAGAGCAAATATTGACTATGGAGATCTACCTGGAAAGAACACATGTTGACTTGAGTAAATAGGTTGTAGCCAGAACATTTTACCTACTTCAGACTTTACCTGGATATAGTAATGAATTGCGGAGAAAAAAAAGTTGGGTGAAGTTTGAAGTGAGATCAGCGAAAGATACAAGAGAGGTGAATTAATGACAAAAAGTAGAAAAAGATAAACCATTCTGTATGAAAGCAGATTATAATCCTAATTTTTGGGTAACAGTGAGGGTAGAACATATAATGGAAAAGGGACTTGGGATATAAATAGAAAACTCTGGAAATACTTCACATGAGATGGACTTTTGATCCCTGTAAGAGTCTCTCTACTTGTGACTACAATTGTGCTATATTCTTCAAACAAAACAAATGTTTCGCATGCTGGTGTGCAAAGCCTAAAATACATATAACAATTGTGCATGATCAAAGTTTTAAAAGTCTATAAATTAGGGGACATTTGTTTCTTTCAGGGACACACACAGGTGAATCAAATCTTTCTTGCTTCGCATGCTACAAAATATGTGTGCTTTATGAAAAAATTGATGGGTTTAAGAGTCTTGACCTTGACTAATTCTTGAAATTTTGTAGAATCAATTATAACAACTTCCCAAAATGCTTGTGATAAGAATGTATTTAATTAGAAATTCAAGAATATTTAATGTGACTGATGTTACTTGACTGGTAATAAATAATTCTATTTAGAGTTTGGTATGTTTAGACTTTGAAGAAACAGCAATCCCTTCTAATAAAATTAAAGCAACACGCTCAGGGACAACCTAACTAGGTAGCCAAACAAGCTCAGGCATTCTTACTGAGTGTTGTCAGGGGACAATAGATTAATGAGCTGCCTCATGCAAGTATAATTCATGGAATGACACAAAAAGAGGGGCACATGCTCATTACATGCTCTGACCAGGGTATATAAGCCTCCTTATACACATGCTGGCATTCACACTCAGGATTTCACCTGCACAGCAAATCAACTCACTACTCCTGACACCATGAATTACTACGGCAGCTACTACAGAGGCCTGGGCTATGGCTGTGGAGGCTTCGGTGGCCTGGGCTATGGCTATGGCTGTGGATGTGGCAGATTCCGCAGAATTGGCTATGGCTGTGGCTATGGGGGCTACGGATATGGCTCTGGCTTCGGAGGCTACGGATATGGATGCTGCCGTCCATCATGCTATGGAGGATACGGATTCTCTGGCTCTTACTAAATGACTTGCTGAAATTGGAAGCAGAGGAGAAACTTCCAAATGTGTTTGGTCCTATCCTGTGCTTTCATTCCGGAAACATCCATTCTATTGTCTTCAGCATCGATGGATAGATATTTATCAATGGTTAAGCTGCTTCTATAAATATCTGTTGTCTTTTTACTTTTGGAATCTGTCATCTGAGAGCATATTCATGTATAACCACTCTAATTTGTTCCCAATTTGCTTTATTTTTTTTTTTTACCATTGCCATGATGTTATCTTTCGATCAAGATCTTAGCAAAAACCTGTATTTTCCTTTTATCAAATAAATGAATCGAAATATAAATATTTGGTTCTTTTCAATGCTTTCATTGTTATTTAACATTTTTTTTGAATCTAATATAAAAGTTTACTTATGAAGCAGTAAGATCTGCACCTCCATGGTGGAATATGATGAAAAATGTTTCTGGTTTAGTATGTTAATGGAAGCTTGAGAACAAATAAGACACCATCTTAACAAGAAATTTAAAATAACTTGGCCCTGTCTATTTACTGAGGATGTCATCTCCTCTCAAGTATCCCTCAAGTGTTCCTGGAATCACTAAGGACAGTGTCATTCTCATATCCTGCTCTGCAACATTACTGTTAGCTGAATGTCTTTTTGATACCATTGTTCTGGCCAAGCATATCTTTGCCTTCTTTCCACCTTCAGTTGCAGTTGTGAGAAGGAGATTGGGATGTTTCACTCATTTCCTGGTCAGAACTACACTCTATATTTAGCATCTACCTGAAGGCTATTGTCTCATATAGGACTGAAACAACCCACTGCAATGGGGCACTGGAACCCAGTGGTACAATGCTGTACAAAAAAATTGGAGTTAGGCCAGGCACAGTGGCTCATGCCTATAATCCCAGCACTTTGGGAGGCCAAGGAGGGTGGATCACTAGGTCAAGAGATTGAGACCATCCTGGTCAACATGGTGAAACCCCATCTCTACTAAAAATACAAAAATTAGCTGGGCATGGTGGCACATGCCTGTAGTCCCAGCTACTCGGGAGGCTGAGGCAGGAGAATTGCCTGAACCCAGGAGGCGGAGGTTGTGGTGAGCCGAGATCGTGCCATTGCACTCCAGCCTGGGTAACAAGAGCGAAACTTTGTCTCAAAAAAAAAAAAAAAAAATGGAGTTAGTTTGCAAATGTTTTCTCCAATTCTGTGGGTTGTTGCTTCACTTTGTTGATTGGCTCATTTACTGTGCAGAAGCTTTTTAACTTCATGTGACCCCATTTGTCCATTTTGGTCTTGATTGCCTGTGTTTATTGGGTATTACTCAAGAAATTTCTGCCAAGACTAATGTCCTGGGAGTTTCCTATGTTAAGTGAACTAAGTCAGGCACAGAAAGACAAACATCACATGTTCTCACTTATTCGTGGGATCTAAAAATCAAAGCAATGGAACTCATGGAGATAGAAGAATGGTTACTAAAGGCTGGAAAGGGTATTGGGGGAGGGGAGTGGGAATGGTTAATAGATGCAAAAAACTAGAAATAATAGATAACGACTTAGTATTTAATAGCACAACTGGGGGCTATAGCCAATAATAATCTAATTGTACATTTTAAAATAACTCAAAGAGTATAACTGGATTGTTTGGAACACAAAGGATAAGTGCTTGAGGACAGGGCTATCCCATTTCCCATGACTTAATCATTACACTTTAAAAGCCTCTGCCAAAATATCTCATGTCCATATATGTATATAAATATATATAAAACCTACTATGTCCCCACAAAAATAAAAAATTAAAAAAATATACACTAAAAGAAAGAAAACTTGAGGTAAGCAGGAGCAGATGCTTTCTATTTTTGTTGCACTTTATTAGAGGCTCTTACTAGTCTATGTAGCTTGTCATGAATGGATGATGACACAAAGTCGGATGAGAATACACTGGAGGCTTTACTGATAAGAGCCCTTCTTGGCTGTCAACTCTGGCTTCATTGCTCAGTCAAGTTCAAGGAGCCTGGCTCTTTTTTCCTTTGGAATTTATTCTCACCCAGAAAATTATTCTGTCCTTTTCTGGCTTGTTTTACAAGTTCACAACCCCTGGCCAGGCATCATGGAACACCAACAGTGAACACAGATAGACCCCTCCTCTGCTATGTTTCTCAGTCAACTTTGAAAGTAGCAAGAGAAGCCTGTTCGGCCAGTTTCTCTGAAATGACCAGGCATGTCTGAATCCACTTAAATTCAAATTTGGACCTCTACTATTTATCTTAGAAAATCTTTTTATCTTCTTGTAAATCTAAAAGAGGAGCACTATTTTATCAATAATTTCTCATAGAAAAACTGTTACCTTTTTACCTAGACTATAGCTTTGATTTCAATTTTGAAAACTAAACATTGGAAGCAAAAACTGGAGAGAAGAAAAGAAAGGAAGAAAGGAAGAAATCAAAAAAGAAAGAAAGAGAAAAATTCATAGGTTAAGAGCCCAATCACATTCAGAACACAGTCTATGTTTTGTTTTATTTAATTTTTTAATTGACACAATAATGGTATGTATTTATGGGGTGCATAGCGAAACTTTGATATATACATCTCTCTCTCTGCATATATATATATAAAATGTATAGTAGTAAGATGAGGATACTGAACATAGATAATTGATCTTTTGAGAAGTTGAAATGAGAGCCAGGTACCTGTCCAAGTGCTGTAATTGAAGGACAGCGACTCCAGCAGTTAGCCTTTGCAAATACTTAATTTTGTTAGTGAGGTTGTGCCGTGTAAGGTTTAGTATGTTTTAAATCCCTTGGACAAAATAGAAGAGTTAATAAATTATTTAATTAAACTAGTTTTTAGCTTTAGCTAATTATTTTATGTTCTAACCAAACAGTGCAAGAGAATAGCACCTGTAGATGATGGTAACTGAAGTTACTATTCTGTATGATTTTCTCCAGACAGACATTATGTCCTACTGAAGATGACCTTGTAGACCGAAAAACTGTTACCTTTTTACTACACCATAGTTTGTATTTCAAATTAGAAAACTAAACAATGGAAGCAAAAACAACAAAAACCATCCTCATTAGGTTGAAGTGCTTGCCTTGTTTGAAGGTCTTTTTGGTTTCCGATCTGAACCGTCCAGATGCTGTTAAGTTTAATTTGTACCTAAATATAATTAGTGCTGCTCCTGAATGCCGTGGCTTTTAAAAGTATATTACAAAAGAGTGGTTTTATTCTTGGTTAGATTGCTAAAGAATTGGAAGCCGGGAACATGAGAGATATTTCTAAATTGCAGTCACTAAATAGTTCTGTTGGGAAAACTGAATTTTTGTTTATGTCTATTACAGTATACCAGTAAGATATGAGAACATATGATTCTTCTGAATGCATGTAGAGAGAAAATTTCCAGATGAAAACTATAGATCCTAATTTTGAGGGAGGTATAATATCTCATGTATACCTAGACATGCTAGGAAATAGTGATTGCATAATTTAGGATCCAAGATTAATCTTATAGGATAAAATTAGAGAATGAATAGTTTCTTGAAACATGGAAACAAAAATTAAATTTTCTTTCCTCTACTCGGAAAAACTTTTTGGACACAATAATCACGGTCACATCTTATTACTGCACTCAAGTTGGTCATAGAAAACTCTAATAATGCAAATCAATATAAAAACTCTTTAATCAACAAAAAATGCTCTATTAATATGAAAGATCAATTGAATCAATATTGTATTGAATGTGTGTATAGAATAAAAATTCAGGATACCTGAGCAATTTGGTAATCTGAATAAAAGTATTTTCTTTTTGTAGAAATAAGTTTGACGAACATCACTGCTGGCCTCGGAAACTTACAGGACTGGGTTGCAGCTATGGATCCATCTATTGTTTGAGCTATGAACTTGGAGATTCTGAGGCTTAATGTTGTTATATATTTAGTTATGTTTCTGCCAAGCATCTTCCTATGGGTTGTAGAGACCATACGGATGCTATTATTCAATTGGTTGACAAGGACACTGTGATCACCACAGCCTCTCAAGTCAGAACATTGAGAAGCTTTGCATGTCTCTTTGTCTCTTCTGTCATCTCCATAGCCAATTGGTAGCGATTTTGTGCTATCTTATTAATAGATACGTAAAATATGTAGTTCTTTAAAAATGTATTCAATTCCGTCTTGCCTTTTATCTAATGCTCATGTTCATAATTTGCTACTTTGCAGCTTCTCATCTATTCCTATCTGATCTCCTAAACTCAAAACCTGCATTTGAGATCATCTATTCCTATCTGATCTCCTAAACTCAAAATTTGCATTTCTCTTATGATCAGTGATGATGATCTTTTTTTCATGTCTGTTCAAATCCTTTGTCCATTTTTGATTTTTTCTTTCTTGTAAATTTACTCTAGTTCCTTGTAGATTCTAGATATTAGACCTTTGTCAGATGGGTAGTTTGCAAAAATTTTCTCCCATATACCCAAAGGATTATAAATCATTCTACTATAACTACTTATGTACATTTATGTTTATATCAGGACTATTTACAATAGGAAAGACTTGGAACCAACCCAAATGCCTATCAGTGATAGACTGGATAAAGAAAATGTGGCATGTAGAATACTACAGAGCCACAAAAAAGGATGAGATCGTGTCTTTTGCAGGGACATGGATGAAGCTGGAAACCATCATTCTCAGCAAACTAACATAGGAACAGAATACCAAACACCACATGTTCTCACTCATGAGTGGGATCTGTACAATGAGAATACATGGACACAGGGAGGGGAACATCACACACAGGGGCCTGTCAGGGGAGCAAGGTGAGGGAGAGTATTATGACAAACACCTAATGCATGCAGGGCTTAAAACTGAGATAATGGGTTGATAGGTGCAGCAAACCACCATGGCACATATATTCTTATGTAACAAACCTTCACATTCTGCACATGTATCCAGAACTTAAAGTAAAATAAAAATATTAAAAAAATTAATTATCTTCCCTGTTGAGATGCCTTCCTGATTCCAGCTGTCACTTGATATCATCATGCACAAATGTCACTTTGTGTAGAGGTCTTCCCTGAGACCCCGTTGGCCTGTGGTCCTTTATATTACCTTTTCTTCATAGCAGTTGTCATGTTATACACTTGCTTGTTGATTCACATATTGTGTATATCCCCAGGAAATGTAAGGTAAACGTGGGCAGAAACTTAATCTCTTTTACTCATTTCTGCATCCACAGGGCCTAGAATAATGCCTGGCTTACAGAAAGTATTTTATAAAATATGTGCTAGGTAAATCTATCATAATGCCAAACTATTGGCTATTAATTCATATG